CCTGTCAGAGCCATGTCTGCCATGTTTGGGTTGGCTAGAGTCCCTTCAGTTGGCATTAATCATCAGACTTGTGTTTAAAAAGATGTGAAAGTATATAGAAATTATCATCGGAATCAACTGTGTCCCTAAACCTCCTATCACTCTTCAGACACCAGTTTTGATGAACTTCTGGGAGGGACTGAAATCTAATCCCTTTTCTGTGCAACCCTCCTTGAGCTGGGGTCTTGTTGTTTATGCGTGTTGGTAGCAGGCAGTGATGCTCAGATTAAATCACCAGGCAGCTAGGACTACGGATTGGGTAGGTAGGGCCAAAAATGAACAAAATGGCAGTAACAAAAACCTGGTTACTTCTCAATGTTATATATAAGTACTATTCTATAACCTTCCTCTGAATTTGAGGTTCAAAACAAGAAGGGAGACAACTCACAAGGCTCAGGAAACTCCTGAAATTTACAGGATTCAGCAATATTTACAGAATCAGTAATGATTGCTGGGAATGAAACCTTACAACCGTTGGAGCCTCCTGAAAGTCATGCAAGGAGCTTCAGAGCTCTAACTTTCATGAATTGTCACCTATGTGGGGTGGGCTTTGTGGTGATGCAGCTGCCTTTGAGTAATCCATGTTCCTGTTAGTAATTCCTCAGTCATGCTTTCTTAGTAAATGCAACAAACATTAGTTGGCAAAGCTGAACTTTGGGGGAATCATTACATTGATCTGCCATTGGTGCCTTTATCTGAAATAAGGAGAGTTTTTTCTTGTTTTAGTTTTTTTTAAAAAAAACAAATCACATGAAGGAGGGTGGGAAAAAGAACTAGAGCTGTAGAAGGGAATTTCCTGGGTGTCCTGTCCTCTAGTCCACCAATGAAAAGTTCCTTGGTGCTATCTCTGACCAGTCAGGAGCTGGCTGCCTTCTCTCAAAGCCTCTCCTGCCATTCTCTCCTAAAACTCTTACCTCCAGCTCCTCACATCTGTAACACCCAGAGACCCAAGAGCTTTTGCCTGGAGCTGACATGAGGACTCTTTAGTGACAGATGTTTGGCACTCTAAGTATCTATATGAAAGATTCCAGAGTCAGAGTTAAGTCCCCTAGACCTTAGCACCAGATCTGTTGTTTCTTGTTCATAGGCTCAAGGTCTGGTGGAAGAAAAATAGATTTTCCCCAAGAAGTGCCTAGTCTGTCCCAGTAGTTGTTTCTTAACCTTGCTGTGGGCTTGCTTCCTCCCCACTCTCTTTTCTTTCCTTTTAAAACTACTTTTTCTTTTTTAATTTTCTTTAAGTGTTTTTATGTATATAAAGTTTTATTTGTATATATGTATGTCTATCCACTACATATATGCAGTGTTCATAGAGGTCAGAAAATTATGTCAGAGCCCATGGAACTAAAGTTACAGATGATTGTGAGTTACCATATGTGTACTGGGAATCAAACCTGGATCATATAGAAGAACTGCCAGTGCCCATAATGATTGAGCTATCTTTATGGCCCTGATTTTCTTTAATTATTTAAAAAATAATGATTGCTTTGGCAGCACATATATTAAAATTGGAATAAGTTATCCTGTGCTAGGATGACTGACAAGTTTGTGAAGAGTTCCATTTTTAAAAGAAAAAAATCAAACTAATATTGTAGGGCAGATGCTGTGATGGACAAATAGACCATGAGATGGTAAATGCTTCTAACCACAAATGCATATGGCACAGTCCTGGTTGGGTAACTTGCTATGTAACGGGGCAGACACATAGGTGGTTAAGTCAGTGCACTGGTGACAAGCTCACAGGTGAACACCTGAGAAGTCATCAGGTTTAGGCAAGAGTTCACAGTATCAGTCTTTTATTGCAACTCTTGTGTTGAGATGATGCCATTTAATGTCACTTGGGAGTGACTGAGATGAGGTGGGCAGCCAGTCAGAACTGACAGTATTGGGTATGCAGCAAGAACAGTGGGATGGGGAACTCCACCCTTGCCAGGGGGGCAGCTGGTTCTGGGACACCGAGAATAATGCATGAAACTCAGAAAGCTGGGAGGTCCCAGAGAGCAGATAGCACACATAAAGCTCATATCTCAGAGTAAAATGTTATATATAGTAAAAGCCAGAATAGTATGCTCAGTAAAAAATGCTGATTCAGGAACGCAGTACATTCTGATTTCTATAGGTGACAACTATCTTAAGGTACGGGTTTTGGGAAGAGAAAAGGCTACTCTGTGGTGAGATCACAATAGAGTATAGATGTCAGAATCAAGACCTAAACTTCATCTACTGAACACTCTGTTAGTCTGTCTAACTTTGAGTTTGTCTATCTTTGAGTTTCAGGCATAGTCACTAAAGGGACTAACTCATTTAGTTTGGGATTCCCAGGGTGAGTAAGCTGAAAGGCGAACTATAAATAATTGGAGGTGATTAATAACAAACGTGGCAGTGATTTGTGTACACCTGACATAGTGCAGTTGATGCAATGTAATCACACCCATGGAGGGCGCATTTAAATTAGCTTTGTCAAATTCTCCTATTAACACTAGAGACATATTTTCTTCTGATGTTAACCAGACACTTGGAACAGGAACATTAACCCACTCAATGGTTTTCGGTGTCCACTTTCTGGTGGAATGGTTTTGTCCATTGGTTCTGGATTTATGACTCTCTGTCCACACAGCAAGCCCATATTCACGTGATGAGAGTTCCTTGTTTACTGTTGTAGGATGTTTGTTTACACTGTGTGAAGATGTGTCATTGTTACTGATTTAATAAAAAGATGAATGAACAATAGCTAGGCAGGTGGGAGTTCAGGACAGAGAAAGGAACTGAGAAGATGAGTATCTAGGGTGTGTGAGACATGCCAGTGAGATGTGGAGTAAGTTGCATGTAGAGAATGAGAGAGAGGTAAAAGACAAGTGGTAGAATGTAGATGAATAGAAACAGGTTAATAGAAGTTATAAGAGCTAACTGGGAACAGATCTAAGCTAAAGGCCAAGCTCATAATTAATAATAAGTCTCTGTGTTATTATTTGGAGGTTGGCGGCAGACAAAAATGTCCAACTACTGACTTACCATCCTGAACAGCTTTGGGTCATATTTTGTAGATAACTTGGCAGCGTGGCTGGCCCAAGATGGACTGATATCCAGCAATTTCTTCAGCATTGAGTCATGAGCATTTGTGGTGATAGATTTAAGCATGACAGCTGAGGGTCCCACTTCAAGAAGTTGTGTTTTCCTGAAGAGTGGATTTAACCTGGACCTGGTCAGGGTGTTTCATGACACTCTTTGAAAACTCTTTTCTTTATTAAATTATAAATATTTTGAAAACCCTGAGTCCTTGGATCTTGGAGTGAAAATAATTCCAGTCTTGGTTTTTAAATTTTATTAACCTCTAAAGTTCTAGATATAGTTTTTCATGTTCCATATCTAGGCTGCTATCAGTTCTCCTTCATTCTCAATTGAAATGAGTTCAGGTTCTGAGATGTTCATCAGTCTTATTCTGAGAGCTCCCAGAAGTTTAGTAGACTGGTCTTTTACAGAAACATGTTTTAGAGTCTGGCAGGTGACTGAGACAAGTGGAGGGAATGATTGCAACCCAGAGGGATATTAAGTCTTACATTTTAGGTTTCAAATATGGCAAATGAATTATTAAAAATGAGTTTTTTCATATGCTAAAATATTAGTTCCAAATATTAAAAATCAAATATAAGAACAAAACTAAACTTGACAGAGGCTAAGCAAAATGAAAAAACTTTCTGCAGGGAGGGTCCAGTGCCAACTGGGCAAGAATAGGGGCTTACTTAGCAGCTGTGTGCTCTGGGTCCCGGGACACAGCAGTTTCTCCCCTATGAAATGTGTGGCCTTTCAGAAAAGTGACTGCATAGGTTACTTGCAGAATTGAGTGTCCATCTCTTAAGGTCTCCTCACACAATAAGTTCCAGTGAACTATTGATAAGACAATTATATAAATTCATAATCTGACCAGGATTTCTCGGTTCACCCCCTTTCTGACTGTCTGGTATTAATATTCATCATCGTCCTATTTTCTGAACCCTCAACTTCCGCTCTCTCCTTGACATACTGTGTTTTAAACTTGGCTCCTCCCCTGACTCCTGTTAGAGTTTTATTGGGTCTGTCCCTCCGATGCTGTCTTCTTTACTTCTTTCCTGAAGTTGAGTATTTCCAGTTGTTGTGTTACTGGTGCCTTGGAATGACTGTTTCGTTGCTGAAGCAGCTAGCTTCTGTTTTGTAGGATGTTGAGGGCTATGCCTCAATGCGAGCAACATTCACCAGAAGCCCAGGACTACTTTAATTAAAAAAAACTCATTAGCACACAAAGATTTGGGTTTAATTATGAAACTTTCCAACAAAGTCTGCTTCTCTTTCCTCCTCTCCCATCACCTGTCCCTCCGTTGACCCTCTGACCTCAGTGTTTTCCTTCCGCTTCCGTGTCAAGTGTCACCTTTGGCTGCTCGTCACTACTCTTTCCCCTTCCACGGCCTTGATCTGGTGTCACGTCTGCACCCACCCATACTCCTACTTTAAAAAATGAGCTACTCTATTTGAATACTTATCTAACTACAAATTCATTGTTTCTTAATTAAATGCTAGAAATCAAAGTGAACAGGGGCTCCCCCCAGTAGGCACGGGGTTTCCCTGTGAGAAGGATCTGCACTCTACAGTTCATAGGACACATCGTTCCTTGTTAGAGACCTTGGCCTTGTTCATTTCCTCCCCTGCTGCTTCAGCTGAAGTGAGCATTCACAGACCTGACAAATCTCTAAACTTTTCCTACAGAGTTATGATCTTTTTTTTTATGCTCTGGATTTGTGCTGCGCTGGAGCTAAGAGTTACAGAGGAAGGGCACATACCTGCTACCTGGGGAGGGACAGAGAACAATGACAGTGAGACTCCAGTATGTCTTTAAATAGAAGCTTTATTCTTGGTCAGAGTTAGGGACAGACACTGCTACTCCACAGTAAGAGTGGGGATTGAGGGTCCAGGGTATCAGACAGAGAAAGGTCTCCAGGGATGGACCAGACAAGGCTGGCTTTCTGTGGCCTGTGGGAGTCTTGCTTCCTCCAAACTCTCTTGTCACAGCCTCAGGATCCAGGTCAGCAGCAGCCCCCAGAGCTGTGGCCACAGCCTGAGCCCCCAGACTGCTGGCCACTGCCACGGTCACAGGAACTGCCACGGTCACAGGAACTGCCACGGTCACAGGAACTGCCACGGTCACAGGAACTGCCACGGTCACAGGAACTGGAGCTCCTGCACCTGCATCTGTGGGACCTGCGCCTGTGGTGGCTCAGGAAGCAGCCTCCCTCAGAGCTGGGGACACTGCAGCCCCCAGAGCTTGTCGCACAGCAGGAGGAGGCTGCAGGCAGACACTGTGCTGTGCTCTTTGGGGGGCACTTGGGGGAGGAGCACTTGGGAGGAGGCTGGCACTGCTTCTGGTTCTGCTGGCAGGACATCTCAACAGGAATCAGCCTGGTAAGCAAAGAAAACAATCACCGGTTATCTACAATCCAGGGTCTCCTAATCTCTGAAATTGTCATCTTTCTGGGCCAAGAAATACAGGAAGGTGGGAAAGCTGATGTGCCTGGAATCCATGGGATCATGCCAGCTGCCTCCCACTCTGTTCTCTACCCAGACACTAGAAGCACAGGCCAAGTCTGTGTGTGAATCTGGCATGTTCTGTCTTTGAAGAGTACCCGGCAGATGTACCTGCTAGGGAAATCGAAGCAGAAGCAGATGTAGCATAGGAAGCAGTGTGAACTCCTGAATGGAAAGGAGGTGAAGTGTGGGGGTGGCTGCTGAGCTCCTGGGTGTGACCTTGTCATTTCCCGCACCCCCCATGATTTTACTGTTTTGAATAATTACCTGCTCTAAACTCATTGTTTTTAAATTGAATACTGTGCTTATTTCCCAGAGTGCTCCTAGTGGCTGGGTTTTTATGGAAGACCTTATCCTTCTCTTTTCCCCTGAAATCATAGTGTTCCCTCCCAACTTCTCATGCCAGAGCCCACCCTTGCTGGATACTCACTCGATGCAGAAGACGCAGGAGAAGTCTGTGTCTGAGGATGCTGTGGCAGAGGAGCCCAGGGCCAGGGCTCTTTTATCCTTTGTAGTTGGTGATGTCACCTGGGTATGCCCTTGCTTTCACAACCAGAGGAGGTGTTACCTGAATGCACGTCCAGCATTTTTTTTTCCTGTAACTTCCATAAAGTCCAGCTAAGGATTGAACCAGGAAGAAGGAAGCTTGTCCATAGGCCTCCCTCTGAGGTCTCCTGGAAACTGATCCCTGTTCCTTCTACCCTCCCTTCCCTCTTTCTACTTCCTTTTCCGCTTCCCTCTTTTGGGTCACATGCCTTGGAGTATTATTTCCCTTGTCATGATTGTGAATGAATTCTTTACCTGCGCGCACACACAGTAACTTCCAAGAACAAATCTCAAGTGATAAAATATTGCAATGTCCAAAGATGCCATGCTTCCCAGTAGACATGGGCAGATGTAATTCACTGATGCCCCCTGGGCTCCAGCAGTGGAGAGCGTGGGAAGTGATGGGGGCGTGTGTGGGGCTTTGTTTGGTGACAGTCCCTGGGTGACCTCATGGTTTCTAACAGTGGCGTGGACTTACTGAGCACAGAGGGACAGAAGCAAGCTGCTAACTTTTAATAGATAAATAATTGCACCACACAGATGGAGAAGTTGTTAGAAAACTCATGTGAGCTGGAATCTGACTGAATTATTGTATTATCACGCTATGAGCAAAGAAAAACATAATTTTGGCTATAGTTAATGGCTTTAATAATTCACACATAATTTAAATATTTTACTATAATATCAAATCATATATTTACATTTTCTTAAAGAGAAAAATATTTGCGGCTTAGAACCAACCTGTAAAAAGCAGGTGATGAGCTGTATACACAGTTAATTATATCTTATAATTAATTCTATTGTAAATAAAATATATAGTAAAGTATCTCAATATGAATGTCCATTAAAACCTATATGATAATTTAGACCATTACGTTTTTTCCTCTTTGTTCTGACATTAACTGTTGTTTAATGCATTGTTTCTGTTCTGGGTCAAGAACTGCAGGAAGGAGGGAAAGCTGATGTGGACGGAATCCATTGGATCATTCCTGGGGCCTCTCTTCTCTACTCAGGCAAGCACTAGAGACACAGGTTGAGTCTGTGTGCAAGTTCAGCCTTTTCTGTATTTGCAGAACACTCAGCAGATGCACCTGTCTGGGAAAAGCAAGCTGGAGTACAGCTGTCACTAGTTATTTATGGCCCTTTGTGGACAGGACTTTCGGAGACTCTCAGGAACGTATCCCTGGATAGACAAAGTGGAAGAGGGAGCAAGGGAAGGAATTTGCCCGCATTACTTGCTCTTCAGAAAGAAGTTCTTGGTCCCTGGTGCTTAGCTCAGTCTTAGCCTCATTGCAGCTTCGTGAGCCATTTCTCTTGCATTGTTGAGAGCGTGCAACTAGATAGTGGATGGGAAAGGGGACCAGATGAATGGTGAAAATACAAACAGTTTCTATGAAGCCTCAGTGTTGTGGACACACAGAAAGAGAAATGGAAAATGACATCTCTGTCCTCAGCAGCTGTGCTGGGCAGAGGGAGCCTCAGCAAATGCCCATGAATGTGGTCAGGTTCTTTCTTGGTTCTCCCGAGAGCTCCGAGTTCACAACTCATATCCCAATGTAATTTGTCAGGAGTGCCTTGGTATAGAGAGGTGGGCTCAACCTTACTAATGCTGAGACCCTTCAATACAGTTCCTTATGTTGTATGACCCCCAAGCATAAGATTACTTTCATTTCTACTTCATGACTGTAATTTTGCTGCTGTTATGAATCACAATGTAAACATCTTTTTTCTCAAGGGTCTTAGGTGACCCCTCTGAAAAGGTTGTCCGACCCCCAAAAGAGTCATAACCCACAGGTTAAGAACTTCTGGTATAGGTGATCACACGGGGCAGAGGTCAACCAAATAGAGGTGATGTCAACAGCACCTTGGAATATAGCCTGACCTCCTATGTGACTTCAGACAAACCAGATCCACTCCTTCCTAATGACCATCATTGTCTCTTTTCCTTGAATTTCTTCTCACTTGATCATTAACTCCCAATTCCTGTCTCCAGCTGTGTGCTTAGCACGGTGATACAACTGTAAATAAGAGGGCCAGCTTGTCCTTGCTGGTACATTGTTATCCCCCCAGGGAAGTGGACCAAATGATGGACGGCAGCTGTAGTGCTCATAAAAGAGAAATTATAGGTTCTGTGGGGCAAGTAAGAAAGGTCTTAACCTCATTAGGGGTTCAGGTCTTTGGATAATTGAATAGCTTTTCAATTGGCTTATTGTTCTATAGAAGCAACTACAAAGACTCCTGTTGGCTTAGAGAGGGTTAATCTTGTGTCATAAGGGCAGCAACAGGAGCAGTTCAATGGCTGGTCAATCACAAGGCTTCTGGGTGACTCAGTGGGGAGAAGAAGCTGCTTTAATTCCTCCGAGCCAGTCGGACATTGAAGCCATGAGCTGGGGCAAGAGATCCTGACCCTGGTGGGCTGTGTCACCAGGGCTGTCTCACTGGCTTCTATGACCATGTGACACACCTCTACGTAGATTCTAAGCAATCATGCACAGTCTATTTGTGACTGCTTGAGCTGTTGGCCCTTCTTAGCTACTCTTGACTTGGGCAAATACAGTTATTGTGATCTCGCCTTCCACATCGCGTCACAAATACGTCCAGAAGACACGCATGTTTCTAAAAATACACTTCTGTATAAATGTAGAAAACTTCAGATAGGACATCAGTTCTAGGGAAGTGTGTGAAGTCGCTAAGATGGGGCCTCACATCAAAATAAAGAGAAGCTAAAAACAGGGAATCATTCCCATAGAAACAGAGAAGTGACTTAACAAAAGTCAGTAGCAATCCATTAAAAAAAAAAGTTTCAACAAATAAATGGCAAAAAGGCGCATCTTCCAGTTGAGAAAGGTAGTCAGAAAAACCTTATGATTAACGGACTGGGCCCTTTGGTCCCTAAGATGGAGAACAGTTCAGAAGTAGATCTATGATGTTTAGTGCCCAAAGTTAGACCCAGAATACATTGCAAACAAAGATACTAAGGCAGTTTACTGGAAGAAGGATGTGTTAGCATGGACGGGAGACTGTGTCACAGAACCCACCCCTAGATGAAGAGCTACAGGCAATCAATAGCTGCTGAGGGAGGTAAAATCAGATGTTTTGTTTTGGTTTTTTTTGTGTGTGTGTTTTTCTGTTTTCCTTTTTTCCCCTAATGGCTGAGACCCAATCCTAAGCAGTCATGTCTGAACACATGCAAATCAAGGCAACAAGAGATGTGCTCAAGTAGGTTGTGTGTGTGTATGGGGGTGGCAGTTGTATGTGAATATATGAACATGATGAGGTCATGAATTTGAGAGGATAGTTGTGGTCAGGGGAAAGGGAGGAACTGGAAGGGGGTGTGGAAAGGATGCAAATGCAGCAAATACACTGTTCTCATGTATAAATCTTCAAACAAAATAAAATAAATACAAAATTTAAAAAGGTGCTGAAGCAATTGGGCATCTTTATGTTAAACAAAACATATTTAGTACTGCATGTTTATACATTTATACACATATTTTATATATGTATATATATATGAAAGGTATGGATAATAGATCAATGTATAAAACAAAATAAACACTTCTAAAATATAATATAGGACATAATTCTGTGACTTTAGTTGTGTAATTCTTAATGGTAATTTTTCATATATGACAAAAAAGGCATAGTTCAAAAGGAAATACTGAACTTCACAATTAAAACTACTAAGGTAGTGGTACGTGATTCAACATGCCTGTAGTGGTACATGACTAATTTCAGTAGTCAGGAGACTCAAGCAGAAAGATCTTGTGTTTGAGGCCACCTTAGGTCACAATGAGAACAAAGCAAAGAACAAACTGAAGAATTAAAACTTCTGCTTTGCAAGTGGCTGTTGGAGAATACATAATTAAAACTCACAGGGTCAAAAACTTGCAAAGCACGAATCTGATTGAAGGCTTGAGTCTAGAATATTCTAAAAGCAGCAAAACACATTAATAACAGGACAATCTGATTAAAATGGGAAATATTGAAAGAGAATGATATTTCAACAAAGATGATCCATGGATGACAAATCAGCTCAGGGCATTACTCATTAGGGAAATGCAATCAGGAGCGAAATGACAGACGAACTGCCCAGGTCACCAGCTAAACTAAAGCTCTTACGTGGCAGTGTGGAATCCTGCCGAGGCTGGGGAGTGGCTAGCCTCAGCTACTGCTGGCAGGAAGATAAAATTTTACTGCCATATTGGAAGTTTCTTTTAAAGTGTCCTTAACAATTAAACATATGCTTACTGTTTCTAAAATTTAGTATTTATTCAAGGAAAACAAAAGTCATATCATAGGAAATCTCAGT